CTCTATCATAGGATTTCTATTCTACCTTCTGTGTTTCATACTCATAGAGGTGGTGGGGTAGGGCCTCTAATCCACAGACTGTCATTTCACACCATGCTGGCTACCGCCATGATGGGCTTTGTCGTAGTACTGACTTGCTCAGCGTCTACCACTGGTATTCATTTTGAACTAGTCTTTCCATTTGGTCTTTTAAGGCTTTATGCAGATACCCAGTATGAAATGTGTGTTCCTTGTCATAGCATTTACTCAAGGCCTTTTCTGTTCCATCAGTTTTCTTAATATCTTCTTACTCTTTCTAGGCACACAAGAGCTGTGGAGACCACAAATAGGCTTCCCACAACTGGTAAAATTATCCCTAGCCCATTTACTTCCTCCAACATTGCTGCTTTCTTGTTCACCCGCCATATTGTTTGTGACACCATTCTGAATCCAGGGCTTCTCTACAAGCTTTGTAATCTTTTCAGTCCAGGGCATCAGAGTTCAAGGTCCAGTATTTTTGGATTCCCCACAATTTATTTGGATATGTTTTGCTGTCCCCTAGGTTTCCAACTCTGGGAGAGAGAGTGGTAAGAAGATTTAGTGGTGTACTCAAGCCAGCTTATTTATCCCAGCCCATGAAAGTTCAGAAAGGTTGCCAGCTAGTTGTTAAACACAGACTTTATTTTAAATTAAATTATATTAACTTGCATTTAAGTTAATTAAAAACAAAGGTAATAAATACTCCAAATCATCACATCCTCATGATCTTAATACATTTTTACTAATTTTATTAGCAGTTTACTAATAAAATAGACTTTACTAATACCTATACCCTTGAAGTTACTTATGTATATTTTCTTTCTAACTCTGCACCCAATAATATCAGATTCGTAGCCTGAAATTGTCCATAATGTGAGTATTTACACAACAGAAACTGACAAATGCTACAATTGTTAAACATTTACCAGCACACCACTACTCATGACTATCTCTTGCCCATTACTTCCTTACACTTTTCATCTCTTCTTCTCCTCTTTTTTCCAGTGGTCTAAGGGTTTTATTACTACCGTGTCATGTGTGACAAGACCTGCTTTTGCATCTTCCTCTTTTACTGGGTCAAAAAATGTAATGGCATTTATTATTTATTAATAAAGAAGGGCAGCAGAGGGCCTAGATTTTAAAAATACATATTGTCCTTATTGCTTGACTACTAACTTGCTTTCCAAACCCTGTCTTTGTAATGAATAAAAGGACAGACCTCAGCCAAGACTCCAAATCATCCCAAACTCCAAATTAATACAGTTCCATTAGTGAGGATTTATTACAGCAACAAGTAGTAATAAATTGTCTATCTTGAGTTCTGAATAATTCACAATTGCAAATGTGCTTCTATATTTTACTACCTTGGCATTCTTGAGTTCTCATAACTTTCCAAGTTTCTCATGGTAATAAAGCTGATTTAACTAGTAATTAATGAACAGGAGTAATTGTATTCACTTGGCATCTTTAACAAATGGAATCACCTTAGTACAGCAATGTCAAAGCAGAGGATTTTCTGTGCTTCTATTTCCACGAATGGTATGGAGGAGGTAGAAGATTGCTTCATTAGTCACTAATAATCATTTATAAAATTGGAGAAACCACAGACTAATGAATCTTTCAGCTTCTTCTAGTTTCTACACTCAGTCCTAGTCCAATTAAGCTCTAGACTAAATCTCTATTTTCTTACTCTGTTGATTAAATGGCCACTTTGCCAGACAGAATTTAAAAGAACAAGCATTTGGGAGATATATTTATTGCCAAATTCTCTGATGAAATGATTCTAGTTCCAGAGTAATGCAACATTTTCCAAACAAAAGAAACTTAGAATTACAAAGTTTCACTCTTGGGAAAATACTGAAATTCCCCCCCACCCCGGAGAAAATTAAGGGAAAGTGGAATTTCTATTATGGAGACAAGGAATCTATTACTCTGGAGTGTTTCTATATTGATACCTTGCAATTACACAGTGGTTTTTTTTTTTTTTACCTTTATTCCTCAAAATAAATAATACAAAGTTTACCTGGGAAGGATCATTCTTGAGAGAGAGCATTACATAGGTGATACAGTTCACCTAGTTTTGCAAACTCTGGCTACCAAAACCTTGACTAATGGCTAGGCAGAGCCTACTCATCCAGGTATCACATATAGCAATACTTGAAGGTTTTCATTTAATCTCAAGACTTTATCAAGAAAACAGAAATATTTGTGGTAACGATTGAAGCAATATACAGTAGTGATAATGCTGCCTTATGTTAATGATAACCAAAAGAGAAAAATAAATGAATTTCATGAAAGAATTAACTAAACTGGAAAAGTATACATTGATAAGGTTCTCATATCACCTGCTGATAACCCAGCATAGCTAGAAAAAATGATCTGATCTCATCTGGATTTGTCTCACAGTGATTTTCTTTCAAATCTTCTAAGACAGGAGAGCTTTTTTCCCTTCTCATCCCTTATTTATTTAATAACTGCAATTATTTCTTTTTGCTCATGCACTTACTTAGAAGCAACTGAGTGTTTATTACATTTCTGCAGATGTTTGCCTCCCTCTAAAGTGCTCTACAAAAAGCTAATTGCCTACTTTTCTGTAATAGAAATAGCTGCATCTTGTTTTAGCTCTATGTTGTTTTCTTACCTAATTGTTCTACGACACTCATCCCTCTGCCATAATGTAAACATTCCACATGTGAAGAGCTTCTCTGTCTATGTGGTCAAGAGAAAGCATTACATCTTCCTTAGAGATCTGAGGTGAACATGGGTCTGTCACATCATAGATGGTCCCAGTGGTCTTTTTGTAGACAATCGACCAAGCAACAATGGTAGCAACAATTTAATCCCTCATTGCTTAACCATTTCATGCTCAGTACCTTTTATGCCATAATTTCCTGCAGATCTGTGGGCTTATTTACTTTTGACAATTCTCCGAATGAGTAGAGCAATTATCATTTCCTTATTTTACAGATGAGGAAACTGAGCCCTAGAAATGTTAATTGACATGCCAGACTTCAAATAATTGGTGACTGAGCTAGTCTTAGAAGACAATCTTCATACGGAGAAATGTTTATGATATGTTGTCAAATGAATTTTTAAAACACAGAAAATGGAAAAACGCATATAAAGATTATATGCATAATAGAATATTAATTGAAAATACACACATATATACACACAAGAAAGAAATTACTGCTCAAAAAGCACATTTTATAAATATCAAATAGGCTATAATAGATACTATGTTTACAGAGAGTAGCAGACATGGTCCATGCCACACTAGAACTAATAATCTAGTGAAAGAGACAAATGCTAATAAATACAAAAATAAATCTATAATAACACATTGTGAAAAAAGTGTAAACACAAAAAACCAAGGTGCTATGAATAGCATCTAATTGAATATAAATGAAGGTTGATTAGACTCTGAAGAAGTTAATTGAGTCAGAAAACAGAAAGATGACTAGGAAGTAGCCAGGTGAAAATGTTGGAAGATCTTTTATTTTCTCTTTTTACTTTTCCAACTTTCCAAATCTCTACAAAACCCAGATGTTACTTTACCAATCAGAAACTATGAATGTGTGACTTTGATTCTCTCTCTGGCAGAGTACTTTCTGTCAAACCAAACCTCCTAGAAAAGCAACTCTAAATGCTGAAATTAAAAAGAATAATAAGGGCAAGAAATACTTTAGCAACAAAGTAACCTGAGAAAAGAAAAATCCACTGTAGTAAGAGAAATTCTCTGCCACTTTTCCTTTTAAGGAATTTTCTGATATATGAGTGCTGTGGGCCAGAGTCCTAACAAAAACCAGCAGATCAGAGCTTTTTTTCTACTTCACAGTTCTCTGCGGGACAAAGGCTAGGAGGATGTTGAACATAGCCAGAACTCAAGGAATGGGTAATGTCCTTGGAAGATTTTAATGCACTTCTCAACAGTAACTGATAGAACAAGCAACTAAAAATCAGTAAAGACATAGAAGATTGGAAGGACACTCTTAATAAATTTGGTCTAATTGAAATAGATTAAAAGACTACAAAACTTCTTCAAACACATTTTCAAGGGCATGCGAAATATTTACCATACAAATAATCATATATTGAGCCATAATATAAGTCTCAATGGTTTAGAGGGATGGAGATATATAAATATAATCCCAAACAGCAGTGGAATTTAGCTATGCATAAGTATTCTAAAATAGCCGGAAGCAGAGGGCGCACATGCGCAGTGGTGTGGGGAGGAGCAGGGACCTGGCCACAAGATGGGAGGCTGCCAGCCAGCTGCAACCCGGCAGGGCAGCGGGCGTGTGCACCATGAGGGGAACGCAGGCACTAGGGTCTTCAAGAATTCGAGCCCTAACTGCAAGCTCAGGGTGTACTTTGGCAAGTGGGACTTTGTAGACCACCAGGACAAAGTGGACCCTGTGGATGGCATGGTGCTTGTGGACCCTGACTACTTAAAGGACCGCAAAGTGTTTGCGACCCTCACCTGCACTTTCCGCTATGGCCATGAGGACCTGGATATAATAATACCCCAGAATCTGCCCTGCTCCGTCACACTGCAGCCAGGCCCAGAGGACACAGGGTAGGCCTGTGGAGCAGACGTTGAGATTCGAGTCTTCTCTGCCAAATCACTAGAAGAGAAAAGCCACAGAGCTCCATGCATCTGGTGATCTGAAAGGTGAAATTTGCCCCAGAGAAACCAGACCCCAGCCTTCAGCAGAAACCACCCACCGCTTCATTTCTGACCAGTCCCTGCACCTTGAGACTTCCCTGGACAAGGAGCTGAACTATCATGGGGAGCCCCTCAGTGTCAATGTCCACATCACCAACACCTCCACCCAGACCGTCAAGAAGATCAAAGTCTCTGTGAGACAACATGCCAACATCTGCCTCTTCAGCTGCCCAGTATAAGTGTCCTGTGGCTCAGATAGAAAAAAATGACCAAGTATCACCCAGTTCCCCATTCTGAAGGTGTACACACTCACCCTGCTGCTCAGTGACAACCGGAAGTAGCATGGTCTTGCCCTCGATGGGAAGCTCAAGCACAAGGACACCAACCTGGCTTCCAGCACCATTGTGAAGGAGGGTGCCAACAAGGAGGTGCTGGGAATCCTGATGTCCTACAAGGTCTAGGTGAAGCTGGTAGTGTCTCATGGTGGGGATGTCTCCGTGGAGCTGCCTTTTGTTCTTATGCACCCCAAGCCCCACGACCATATCACTGTTCCCGGGCCCCAGACAGCTGCTTCTAAAACAGATGCCCCTATGTACACCAACTATGCCACAGATGGTGATACCGTGTTTGAGGACTTTGGCCAACTGTGGCTGAAGGGGATAAAGGACGAGGACTGTGAGGATCAGTTATGCTAGAAGGGGGCTGCAAGGAAGGGGGGTGGGGGGGTGCTGGGAAAGGGAGAATCCCAGCCTCTCTGCCCTCCTTCCACTTAGCAGCTTCCTCAGCCAACCTCCCTCCCTCCCTCGCTAGTCACCTCCAGACATGCACTGAATCCATCTCCTGTTGAATGTGGGCATTACATTTTGTCTCCAGCTGTGCCTCCCCAATACCCCAGTGGGTGGCAAGCTGTGTCCAAACCTATATTTTTTGGAGGGGGATTCTGAAAAGAAGAGTGACTGTAGGGAAAGGAGGGAGAAAGAACTCCCACATTCGACCTCATACTAATAGCCGCGGCCCACACACACCCTGCCTCCCTTTTCCTTCAAGAGGAGGCCCTGCGGGGTGGGGGGGGGGAGGGTGGACAAGGTCACTTCTTTGTTTCTGAACATAAAGAAGAAAATAAATTTTTAATAGGAAAAATAATAATAAAATATTTGGAAACTAAGTAATACACTTCTAGATTATCTATGGATCAAAGACATAATAAAAATAGAAATCAGAAAATATATTCATTTGAATAAGAAATGCAACATATTAAATCTTATAAAATAAAGTGAAATCAGTGTTTAAAGGGAAATTTAAAAACTTTAAAATGTATGTGTTAAGGGGGAAAAGGCTGAAGACAAGTGATATAAGTTTATTAAACATTTTTAAAAAATTAAACCTAAACTAAATGAAAAGAAAATTATAAAGTTAAGAGTAAAAAATCAATAAAACAGAAAACAAACATGCTAAAGAGAAAATCAACAGACCAAGAATTAGAGCTTTGAAAAAATAATAAAACTGAGAACTTAAGACACAGAATAATTATTAGTTATAAAAATTTTAATATCAGGAATAATTTAAAAAGATATCACTAAAAAGGCTACAGAATCTAAAATACCTTAGAAGCATACTTTGAGAAACTTTGTGAAAAAAAGAAGAAAAAAGAGAACTGGACAAATTACTAGAAAAAAAAACTTAGCAAAAATGACACAATTAAAGAAATAAATAGCCTATAAAGTCCTATTTCTATTAAATTGATTGTATATTTTATTAAATCCTTTACTCCTCAAAAACTCAGATCCATATGGACTTACTGGCAAATATTTAAAAATAACATCAATCTTAAACAAACTCTTCCGCAATATAGAAAAAGGGCAAACAACTTGTTTAATATGGCCAACCTAAGCTTAACACTAAAATTTGACAAACATATTTAAAGAAAGAAAAATTACAAGCTTATCTTTCTCATGAACGTAGAGACAAAAATCCTAAATACATACTAGCAAATCAAATGCAGGTATTCCCAAAATGCACTTATTCTCGAAATGCAATGATGATTTGAGATTCAAAAACCAACTGATGTCATCTTTAGATGTGACATTGTCAGACAAACCCAAAGTGATGAATATTCTAAAAGTAGCTGTCCTTTATTCTTCAAAATTGTCAATGCCACTAATGACAATGAAAATTCAGAAATCTGGGCGCCTGGGTGGCTCAGTTGGTTAAGCCACTGCCTTCGGCTCAGGTCATGATCCTGGAGTCCCAGGATCGAGTCCCCCATCGGGCTCCCTGCTCAGCAGGGAGTCTGCTTCTCCCTCTGACCC